TGCATGAAATGGAGAAAAATTGTGTCCCCTGATGTGAAAACTAAAGGATAGAGAACAAAGCAGCTCTCCTAATTTGGTAGTATCCATTTCTGTGGCATCTAAAACTTAGCGGTATCAAAACTGAGTCCACCAAATCAGGTTCTTCTGCAATGGAATCCTAAATGAAAACAATCAGTTTCTCAAGAAGGGAAAGTCATGTGAAGAATTGGACGTGTATTTGTAATTTGTCTTGTTCATAGGACTGCTGTAGGCATGAGTTTTTCATCTTACATGGTGTTGTTTGTTTGTTGGGTTTTTGTACTTCCAGATCTGGTGGGCTGGGAGCTCTGAAAAGGAAAGACTCATTCCTCTAGGATGGAAAGTTAGCATTGTTATGGTGGCGCCTTACTAACAACAACAGTGTGATCTTAGAACAGCTTCAGTGTTGTTGTGAAGGAAGAGCTCCTGGGTAGCAGTTACAGTGCCCATCAGCTAAAGCCCTTTTTTTTATTTGCAAGCTGGCTGAAAGCAGGCCTCAGACTGGGCTGGTACACAATAAGGCAGACCAACACTTGCCTGAAGTTGCTGTCTTTTTCTCCAAAAATCTCACCTTTCATTAAAAAAAATTAAAAGGGGGAATGGAATGTAAGCAATAAAGAGGTACAGATGAATCTGCAGAGAGCCTGCAACAGTAGCTGTGAGAGGTGTGCACTGCCCTGTTCATCTCTGTTAAATATTGTCAGATGCCCCAAATGATCATATAAATGCCAACAGTGCTAACTATTTCATTGCTCCAGTAACAAAGGAGGAGGAATCACAGATCTGCACAATACACTATGAGCGACATCTCATTTTGACTGCCACAAAGGATGGCATTTGGTAGTTGCCACCACTTTTTTCCCCCTCCAATCAGAAAGGAACCAAGCAAAGCCAATGGGCATATTGAAGCCTGCAGGAGGGGGAGCCAAGCTCCAGGAGCCCAGAGGAACTCAGATGGTAGCACACAATGCTATTTTAAACATCAACCCAACTTACTGCGACCACCACCATCTGCTCTGCTCACATGGGCAGAACTGATATTGTGGGTGAAGCTTAGACTAGTACCATCACCTTTTTCCCCCCTTTCAATTCAACCCTTCACTGAAAGATGATACTGAAAAATCAGACCACTGGCTTTCTCATGAGTTAGTAGGACAGCATCCGTAAACAGTGGAAGGAAAATGGCAACCAGCTCTATGGAGAACATTTTACATTTTTGGAAGGTGTTAACATTAATTTTTAAATTTGGGTGTGTGCAGAATGGGGGGTTAGACACTTCTGGGGGTGTTTAACCTTTAAATGCAATTGCCATTTATACATGTTTCTATGACTGGAGAATCCCTGAAAATGGAAATAAAATAACATGGAATAATAAGGAAGTGTTATTTACTCCATCTCATAACACAAGGACTAGGGGTCTCCACATGAAATTAATAGGTAGCAGGTTAAAAACAAACAAAAGGAAGTTTTTTTTCCCACACAACACACAGTCAGTCTGTGGAACTCTTTGCCAGAGGATACTGTGAAGGCCAAGATTATAACAGGGTTCAAAAAAGAACTAGATAAGTTCATGGAGGATAGGTCCATCAATGGCTATTAGCCAGGATGGACAGTGACGGTGTCCTTAGCCTCTGTTTGCCAGAAGCTGGGCATGGGCAACAGGGGATGGATCACTTTATGATTACCTGTTCTGTTCATTCCCTTTGGGGCACCTGGGATTGGCCACTGTTGGAAGACAGGATACTGGGCTGGATGGACCTTTGGTCTGACCCAGTATGGCCGTTCTTATGTAACACATGTCTGCTGATTCTTTTTCTGAATAGGACGGTGTATTTAGGAAGCTCTTAAGTGACTTGGATTTTTATTTCTTCTTATGATTATTATTATTTTATTTATTATTATTATTGGGGCATAAAACGAGACTGGACAAGCACTAGACAATGAATGGCAGGGAACAGTCCTGTATTGTCATGAAGATAGACTCATAATGACCTAACATTTTCCATCTCCAATAACTTTCGATGTCTGACTTTTATAGGTTTTGTAGATACACCCTTGAAAACCCGTCAGAATCTTCTATATGGGGGAGCAAGCAGGTGTCCCTTGATTGTTTTGAAGATCCAGATAAATCCCAATATCACCCCTCATGAGGTCTGAAATCTTCTACACATACTTCCTTTCCCACACCCTGTGATGCTGCACCCCATATTCTTCATAAAAATATTGTTATGATATGAATATGGTATAACTATGTTATGTTTTATGCAAGGTGGGTCATGTGAGATATCATTGGAAAGGTTATGGTTTACTGAATGTGATTATCTAATTCATATGCATGTATCATTTCTGTATCTGAAATTAGGAATATTGACTATGTAACAATTACAACTGTGTGTGTACCTAGAAAAACGCCCACCAGACAGTAGGCAATCAGCCTGGATGGGCCATTAAAAAGGACAATAGAACTTTGAAGATACTAATCTTCCACCTTCCTGAGAAGCTTCCTGGGATGCTGCTTTGACACTACAAGGTCATGTGATCATGTCACCTGGTACACGGTCCCATCTTGAGCTCATATTTTTCCACTGGAAGGGGGTGGGCTAGGAAAGAAAAGATTCCCGCCATATATAAATCCTATTTAAGGCTGGGAAGCGAGGTAATCAGGGCTCTTCTCCACTGCCCAAGAAGGAAGACTGCTGAAAACACCTGAAGAAACAAAGAAACTGAGCTGGGGAGGGAGGGGCTGCATCCAGGTCAGAAGGACAGCCTGTAAAAGGAATCCCTGAAGATTTAAGCTGCAAGCAGTGCAGTTTACCTTCAAGAAACTCTGCAACCTGCTTGAAACAACATTTAGGGTGAGAAATTATTATTTGTAGCCAGTATTCCTTAGTGTATTAAGCTTATTAAGTGTTTTGTTTTATTTGCTCAGTAATCTGCTTTGTACTGTTTGCTATCCCTTATAATCACTTAAAATTTATTGTAGTTAATAAACTTGTTTCATATTTATTCCAAAACCCAGTTTGTGCAATTCATAACTGGGGATGGGGAGGCAAAAAGCTGTGTATATCTTAAGAACATAAGAACAGCCATACTGGGTCAGACCAAAGGTCCATCAAGCCCAGCATCCTGTCGTCTGACAGTGACCAATGGCAGGTGCCCCAAAGGGAATGAACAGAACAGGTAATCATCAAGTGATCCATGCCCTGTCACCCAATCCCAGCTTCTGGCAAACAGGCTAGGAACACCATTCCTGCCAAGCGTGGCTAATAGCCATTGATGGACCTTTCTTCCATGAATCTATCTAGCTGCCTTTTGAACCCCGTTATAATATTGGCCTTCATAACACCCTCTGGCAAGGAGTTCCAGAGGTTGACAGTACGTTGCATGAAAAAATACTTCCTTGTGTTTGTTTTAAACCTGCTACCTATTAATTTCATATGGTGGCCGCTTATTCTTGTATTATGAGGAGTAAATAACACTTCCTTATTTACTTTCTCTATGCCACTCATGATTTTATAGAGCTCTATCATACCCCCCTTTTCCAAGCTGAAAAGTCCCAGTCTTATTAATCTCTCCTCATATGGAAGCCGTTCTATACCCCTAATAATTTTTGTTGCCCTTTTCTGAACCTTTTCCAATTCCAATATATCTTTTTGGAGATGGGGCGACCATATCTGCACACAGTACTCAAGATGGGGGCATACCATGGATTTATATAGAGGCAATATGATATTTTCTGTCTTATTATCGATCCCTTTCTTGATGATTCCCAACATTCTGTTTGTTTTTTTGACTGCCGCTGCACATTGAGTGGATGATTTCAGAGAACTATCCACAATGACTCCAAGATCTCTTTCTTGAGTGGTAACAGCTAATTTAGACCCCATCATTGTATATGTATAGTTAGGATTATATTTTCCAATGTGCATTACTTTGCATTTATCAACATTGGGCAACAAAATGGCAGATGAAATTTAGTCACCCAGTTTTGTGAGAGAGGGGGGTGATTTTAATTAGTTCACACTAGATCTCCATACAATGCAAGACAGTGTAATTTTGGGTTTACTCTCTAGAGGGTAAAAAGAAAAGGAGTACTTGTGGCACCTTAGAGACTAACCAATTTATTTGAGCATAAGCTTTCATGATCTTATTTATGCTCACGAAAGCTTATGCTCAAATAAATTGGTTAGTCTCTAAGGTGCCACAAGTACTCCTTTTCTTTTTGCGAATACAGACTAACACGGCTGTTACTCTGAAACCTCTCTAGAGGGTGTTTTCACAGGAGTCCTGGGCAACCCCCTAGCTGAGTCCTCCCACAGAGAGCTGAATGTAGACCAGTGGTGGGCTAATCCACTGGCAGGCCATGAGACAGTTTGTTTACACTGACCATCCACAGGCATGGGTGCCCGCAACTCCCAGTGGCTGCGGTTCGCCGTTCCCGGCCAATGGGAGCTGCAGCAAGCAGTGGCCAGCACGTCCCTGCAGCCTGTATTGCTTCCCGCAGCTCCCATTGGCCAGGAACGGTGAACCACGGCCACTGGGAGCTGCGCCTGTGGACAGTCAATGTAAACAAACTGTCTCATGGCCCGGCAGCAGATTATCCTGACTGGCCGCATGTGGCCTGCAGGTTGCCCACCACAGTTGTAGACTCTGTGTGATTCTATAGCTGGGTGTGCCCCCTACCTGTGTGTGTCCTGGAAAGGGGCTTGAGAGCCTGCCACAGTAGCACAGAGTGGGGGGGGGGGGGGACGGGACCCAGGCTGGTGCGACAGGAGGGCTCAGTAGGATCCCCGCAGCTCAGGTGGCACCCTGGAAAGGGGGAAGGGGGGGGCGTCCAACCTGTCACACACCCCACTTTCTATTTTCTTGCTCGCACCTGGCGGCAGCAGCAGCTACGACGGGGATTAAATGCTTCTCCTCTCCAAAGCGCCCCCCGCGCGTGCTTTGGCAGACGTGGCTACCTGCGGCTGTGAGGGGCTCACCTGCCATAGTGTGGTGTCCACTGACCCGGGCCTGACCCCCGCGCGGGGAGAGCCCAGCCAAGCGTGCTTGCAGCTCAGGCGCCGGAAGGGGGTCTCCGCGGGAGGGAAGAGACGCACGCTTCCCGTTGCCGTAGGGAGCAGGCTGAACCCCGCCCCAAAACATGGGTTTACACAAGCGAAGGCAGCGAGCGCGTTTCCGTGGCCTCAGCACACAGCCGACTTCATCCCGGGCGGGGCTGAGCTCCTGCCCTCGTGAGAGGAGGGGGCGGTTTGCCATTGTCCTCAATGGGGCCGGAATCTTCCCCCCCCCCAAGTTATAAGCCCTGAAGTGAACAGTCCGTGGGGCAGTCAGGGGGGTCCCACCTCCTCCCCGGGCCAGCGGGCTGCCTCGCCCCTTCGGCACGGCCCGCTCGCGTCTCCCCTCTGTCCCGCCCGGCGCCCGGCGCCCGGTCTTGCCCCGCCCCGCTCGGCAGGGGGCCGCGGCGCGGTGCCCCGCGGCAAGGGGCCGCGCCGGGCTGGCAGCCGCACAAAGCCGCGCTCGCTCTGCGCTCACGTGCCGCCGCCCCGCTCCCGGCGCCCATTGAGCGTGGCCAGAGGCCGGGCTGAGCCCTGCGCACCCCGGGCTCGCACCGCGCCGTGGGGGAGGCTGCCCAGCCCAGCCCGGGTCCCGGCGGCTGAAGATGGAGCAACCGCCTCAGCCGCGCCCTGGCGCCCAGACGGTCACCACCAGCAGCAGCAGCAGCTCCTTCACCGCCAGCTTCTCCCCGGCCGGCGCCAGCACCCTCGCCTACGACAGGGAGTTCCTGCGAACCGCGCCCGGCATCCTCATGCTGGCCGAGATCGTGAGTAACCCGCCCGCCGCCGCCGCGTCCCCTTGGCTTGTGGGGAGGGAGAGCCGCCGGGGCTGACTGCGGCTCCCAGTCTCTCTCAGCCGGGCAGGATTCCCGGACACTTCTAGCCTCTCCCTCCCACGCTTTGTGGCTTCTCTCCAGCAGCCTGGGGACGGGGGCTTTGCACAAGGACCTGCCTTTGCGGTGACTTTGCTTTTAATGGTAAAGCCCCTCGCGAGCCCGCTGCCTGTTGGGGAGAAACGCAGTTGCCAGAGTAACGGGTTACATGTGAGCTGATGATTTCGTTAAGTAGCAGGTCGCTCTGGGCTGCGTTGTGAGCTCCGGTGTGGAGTGACTCCGGAGTGGCTCCAATCCACCCCATGCACCTTTAGCTCAGCCTTCCAAAGTAGTGAGCTGCCTGGGTGGAGATCCTTGCAGGACATTCAGTGTAATGCCAAATGTTTTAAAATGTCCTGCATTGAAGACTTGTAAATGCTGAGTCATATTTGCAATTAACTATATTTTAATTCTATTTATTATATTAGAATCTCTTGTGGGTATCTTACTGAAATGTAACATCATGGTGGTGTCAGCATCAGAGGTTGTAAATCAGTTTCCATCCAGCTTTAAAATTGAATAATCCCCAAAGAAGAACTTTAATGTTTTAGTGTCTGACCCTGCAAACAGATCCATAGGTGCAGACAACTATGCCCCCCCCCCCCATGTAGGTCTATCCACATAGATCAGCTGGTGAGGTCTAAATGAGTAATCAAGAAACAATAAATTTTCTATTCTATCAGGGTTTGTTAAATTACACATTTTACAGACAGACCATGGGACTGTTGAGAGGTTGGTCCCCAAAATCTACTCTTTAGGATCATTTTATATGGCTTTAGCCTCCACCTAACATTTCCCCCAAGTTCATTGTCTGCAACAACTGCAATATTTCCTGCACTACAATCAAAACTCCGGCAGGCCAGTGGTTTGGGTGCTTCTAGAGTACAATGCTTGTAATATTCTGTTTGAAATCTCATCAGTAACAGAGCACTTGATTTAGATAACAAAGTAAATGCAGTTTTAAATGATAAATGTCAAGTTCTTGTCTTGTAAAGACCCATAAAACTTGATGATGACATAAACATCTACACAGAGTAGGGGATGTGTTCTTTTGTCTGTTTTAGCGTTTGTAATGTCAACAACTCTTGCAGGGGAAAAACCGTCTTGGCCGATCAGGATCAGATTTTCAAATATTTTGTTTTACGTGTTTATACGCTGCATTGGTAATATTAATAAATTAACTCTCACAACACCCTTATAAGAAACTAAGTAACACATCATCCCTATTTTACAGGTGGATAAGGGACTGATTAATCATTTCATTGCACTTTGTATAGGCAGTTGCCCCTGTGCAGAGTTGTTCTACTGGGGGTTTAATGCTTTGTTGCTTCTGTAGATCAAGCTCGTTGCACACACTCGCGATTCCTTATATTCCTTCATTTGCCTCTGCCCCAGGCTCCTGCATGCCACTCTCCCATCCCCCTCAATTTCAGAGACTCCCTGGAAATCTCTATACCCCCACTTCATGTCAGGGGCTCTGTGTGCGCCCCCACCCCCATTTCCCCCCATGCCAGGATTGATTGTTCCTCATTTTCCCAGTCAAAGGTCTCCTATCCTGCCCCCATGGCAGGAGTTCTGTGTGCACCCCACTCTCCTCTGCCCTGCCCCCCAGAGGCTCTGTTCACACTCCCATTCTGCCCCCTTCACTCTTTTACCAGGGACCTCCATTTCACACCTTGCCAAGGCCCTGTGTGTCCCCTATTCTGCTTGATGCCAGTCTCCCACTCTCTCCTCGATGCCAGTGCTGTTTATGCCTCCACTTCTGCCCCATTCTGCTTTCCCCTCCCATACCCCCATTTTCCCCTTTACCAGGGTCACCTGTTCTCCCCTATTATAACCCATGCCAAGGGTTCTGCGTATGCTCCTATTCTCCCACCATTATTTCTCTGTTTTCTGGGAGATAAGTCATTCAGGGTGTCAAGAACTTGCCTCAAACATTCCCTGAACTTTTGGAATTGATTGGATGCAGTGTTCACAAGTTATCACATTATATCTAAATATCAAATGTCCAAACAGGAACACCATCAAGTGCAGGATACATCTTGCAAGCTCAGCCAAAAATGATAACAGATTTAGTCTTTTGTTGTTACTTTGCACAGATGTAAATTACTATACAAGCTGCCAGTCAAAATGAGATTGTTGCTTGCTTAAGGCCAAGTAATAAATTGATGGTAGGGCAGGGATTAGAATGTGGGAGTTCCTAGTTGTTGGTCCTGTGCACTGAACGATTAGACACACTTCCTCTCTGTTAAATTAATTTTTAATTTTTTTAAATCAATTCAATTAATGATTAGAGATCTTAAACATTTTTTTAAGCATTTCAATCCACCATGTAAGTTTCTGCTTGACTGTTTTGCTTTGATGGTTTGTGGAAAGGTCACTTATTTGACCACATCCACTTTCAAGGGCTGAGAATGTAACTATTATAAACTTTCAAAAGGCTGACCCAGCAGTGGAGTAATTACCTTATCCATTATCATTAAAGCAAACCAGCCAAATGGAACTCCAGGCTTATGTGCTGTATGGATCCTTAGTGGACCTCTGGCAGAAACAGCCAAAGAAGAATCATGTTACAAGATACTTTCTACTACTTCCTCATACTAGGTAGTAACTTCTACTACTAACCAAAATACTTGCTTGGACCTGTAATTATTAGATATTGTCAAACAATCCAGAGTGCTTAGGTACCTGAAATGTAAACAAATTCAAGTTTTGAAATATTGGGAACATTCCAGTATCAACATTAGGGCAATTAAAAAAAAATCAAGCTATAGTCACTGTAATTGTATTCAAAAGAAATGCCACATTCCTTCTTCCACTTCTTATTGCCTTTCCACTCCTTATTGCAACAAGGTTCTCAAGACCACTCTCGCTTTCTCTGATAAGAGAAATCTGAATAGGTTAATTGGAACCTTCGTAATGTGTGATACAGAACCCATGGAAGTACTGTATGAAGTGTCTCTAGCATAGGTACAATGGCGTGAATTCCATTTGAGACTGAGATTATAGTTCAATTTAGCTGCTTGAACACTCCACACATACAAGCTCTTGTGTAGACTTCTGGATGGGAGTGTGCTTCTTAGTCTTTGCTAGCCTTACAGACTGAGAATGGTTTCCATAGTATTTCTGTCTAAATAGAGTCTAGAGATACCTGTTTTGTCCTTACATTAAATTTAGCAATTTATGACCTTTGGAAAAGAATTTCAAAATTATTTTAGTGCCACTCTTATCAGGTCTAACTTTCTTCATATGAAACTTTAAAACAATGTTTGGTATGTGCTTAAGTGCTGTTCTGCATCGGGGTCTAAGATTGTGGTCATGTGTGCTGCAGTAAGAAATTATGCATCAGCCTGAAAAATAGTACTTAAAGACCACTACAGATGAGTTCTGAGTTGTACCAGCTAGTACTGCTGGTTCTTAACTCCACCAATTATGTCAAAGCTACTGAAATAGAGGTTCTTCTAGATTTGCTTTTGCTTTCCCCCCTAACTTTACAGAAGACATCCAGTTGAAATAGGGATTGTGACATTGAAACCAAAATAGAGCTTAGTGTGAAAAATAAGTACTGTCCCCAGATTTTGGTCAAACCCTGCTCTTCTTTCCCCTCCTCCCAAGAAGAAATGCCTCCCAAGGCATTGTGCCTGGGCATGACTATTTTTATACAGGATCCATATATCAAAAATGGCACCAAATCACCGGTCAGCTTCTACCTGTCCTGCTCATCCTACGTACCAAACTCACTGAAAGTCAACTTTAAAACTAATCCAAATCCCCTAATCAGGAATTCTAAAAGTTCTGTTTATTACTGTGTTGCTGCATAATTTATCAGTCAACCACATATGCGTAATGGTGAGAATACCATTAATGACTTCTAGTTCTAAAAATACAGATCTCTTACCTGGTGTGAGGTAAAGGAAGAATTCCACAGGTTCAACTAGCAAACAGAATGGATACGCGCTTGACAATATATCAAAATTGTACTAGTTAGGAATATGTCTTCACTGCAGAGTTAGGTCACGTGGTTCGTTAGGTATTGCCCCTAACCTCTGCCTCCCATTCACACACACAACCCTCTCCTCTCAGTTTAGTGGTGCTTTAAACCTTGGCTCGCTGGCACTGCTAGGGTATAAGCTAAAGCTCAGATAACCTGGACACAGGCTAAATCCCTCCAGTGATGAAAGTTCTCCAGTGCGGCCATAAATATAAAGGGAAGGGTAACAACCTTTATGTATTCAGTAATATAAAATCCCTCTTGGCCAGAGGTACAGAATCCCCTTACCTGTAAGGGGTTAATCCGTTCAATTAACCTAATTGTCACCTGACCGGAAGGACCAACAGTGAAAGAAGATACTTTCAAATCTGGGGCGGGAGGCTTTGTTTTTGTGCTCTGTGTGTGTTCTCTCCGGAGACAAAGAGAGAGACCAAGCAAGTAATCCAGCTCCTACTGAATGATAAATCTAAACTTACAGAAATAGTAAGTAATAGCAACGAAATGCGTTAGATTATCTTTTTTGTTTTAGCTTGTGAATTTTCCCTGTGCTAAGAGAGGTTTATCTCTGGTTTTTTTGTAACTTTGAAGTTTTGCCTGGGGGAAAACCTCTGTGTTTTAAGTCTTATTACCTTGTAAAATTAGCTTCCATCTTGATTTTACAGAGGTGCTTCTTTTACTTTTTTTCTTTATAATACAGTTTGGTTTTTAGTGTCCTAAAAACCCAAGGGTCTGGTCTGTGCTCACCTTGTTTACCTATCTGGTTGGTAGATTATTCTCAAGCCTCCCCAGGAAAGGGGGTAAAGGGACTTGGGGGAATATTTAGGGGAAACAGGAATTCCAAGTGGTCCTTTTCCTGAATCTTTGTCTAACTCACTTGGTGGTGGCAGCAATACTCAACCAAGGA